TGCTATGTTGGGGAATGTGGAATTTTGTTGTGATGAGTGTAGGGTGGTGATATATGTTTTGGGTTTGGTTATACTTTGCTTGTAAGATAAAGTATGAGTTTGGGTATTGGTGTGTGACTGTGTAGTGTGTGTGTGAATGTGTAGTGTTTGGTGGTGAGGATTGAAAGACTGTAATTTGAAGGTTAAGGCAACAAAAGGCAAGAGGGATTTGTATTGCTCGTGTTGCAAGAAGTAGACAACTCAACTAACATGCATGTATATATAATGTATACTTGTATTTTTACTAAGTTTACTAAACTTTGTTAAGGAGATCAATTGAAGTTTTACACTAATGAAAGTTATGTTTCTTACCAAAAGTTATGTATCAATTGGATTGGTTGGTATCACATTTAATTTAGTTAATTAGCTTAATTATTGACTCGCCGTGGCAGTATAGATTTATTTCGCAAGATTGGCTATTTAAGTGTTTATTTCTTTATTATATTTTCNAATGTCATTTAAATGTAGGGATTTGTAAAAGTTGAGACTTCGGGTAGCAATATGTGATGAGCATATGATTAATGATTTGGACTTAATATTCGTATGAGTTCATATATTTAAATGGTTTGTTTATTTGACCAAACGTGTGCCAATCTAGATTACCTTGATCACATGATTGGCATTGACAAAGATGATGTGTAATGTTTTGTATTGATGGGTGGATAAAAGAGAGTTAGACAGTGAGATATTAAAGATATTAATAATGATGTTTTGCATTCTTGTGGTAAAAGAGACTTTGATTGTACGTGGAAAGACTAGTTATTCATATACCATACCGTATTATACCTCAGTCACCAAAAACCTAGCTAGCTTTACATGTTATAATTTCAACCCAAATGCAATTAAAAAATAAAAAAAATAAAAAAAAAATAAAAAAAAAAACTAAATTATCGGGTTCTTGTCCATCTCATATTCCCACTTCAATCTAGGTGCTGATGTGACACGATAAACTAATGGCAATACATTTGTTTCTTGCCCCAATCTCAATATAACATATTTTATAGCTGAGAAAATTGCAATTTTATCTAGTAACTTAGATTGTTTCTCATTTTAGTCCAATAACTTGGACCGATCCAAAATTGGTCTAAAAACTTCCAAAATGTAGTTAAATTAGTCCAATTCCGGTCCCCGTTTCGGATTCCGGCGACGGGGACCGGAATTGGACTAATTTAACTACATTTTGGAAGTTTTTGGACCAATTTTGGATCGGCCCAAGTTACTGAATTAAAGTGGGAAACAGCCTAAGTTACTGGACTAAAATTGCAATTTTCTCTTTTATAGCTCACAATATATAAAATATATTTTTTATAATCTGCTTGGAACTGTTACATTGGCTCTATCTAATAGCTAGAGTGGAACTTCTGGTAAATGATGGAAGGAAAAATAACATAGAGCCACCGTTTGGTATTGTAGCATTTCGGACAGCTCCATAAGCCGCAAGCGTAATATTCCTTATGTTTTCTTTCGTTTTAAAATTCAAATTTATCGCTTAAGTTAATGTTTTTACTTACTAGTATATGTCCCGTGCGATGCACGGAAGAGCTCATATTTTAAATTTTTTTTATACTTTATTTTAAATAAAATAATTTATATATAAATATAAACAATGAAAAACATATATTACTAAATCCTTATCTTTACAAAATATTTTTTATTTAAGTAATATTATTATACCTTGCAATTTTGATTTTTTTTTTCTTAACTTGATTATCTAATCTGTGATTGTTAATATACAAATAATAAGGGAAAGAATCCAAAAAGTAAAGTTTTTGTTTTTTACAAATCAAAATAATCCAATTTTTTTAAGCACTTTCATATTTCAATTTCAATATATACTTCTTACCAATTTATTCAATGGTCAACATTAGTCAAATTACTTATCAAAATAGAAGAAAAATCCAAATATTATCTTATATCATCTTTTAAAATCAATTTAGTTTATACCGATGAATTTATATACGATTTCATTAATGGGAAAAAATATGTAATAAAAAAATCTACATATTTCCATATCAATGGACATATATTATCTATTTTATTACTTTATTAGTTAAAAAATTCATTAATGAAGGTACGTATATTTGTTGATTTGATTTTCAAAACCTATTTTTTTATTTATTTATTGATATTTTCATAATAATGTACATAAATCTTCACTCAAAATTTTTTTTTTCCATACGTGCGTTCACTACAAAAAAATTGTTATATTCCAACGAAAAATCCTATGATAATATATTCAAATGAAAATTCCAACGGATATTCCAATTTTGGTTATTGAGATTGGTTGGAAACTTATTGGAAGAAGTCAATTTACATATTTACAATGCACGGTTAATTTAAATAAGGAAATGTGTTTCATATTTACTAATTAGCTATCCAATTTCATTTACTTTTCTGGAAAACGATACAGGGTTGCAAATTAGCTATCCAATTTCAAATCAAACAGCAAAATACGGAGAAAAAAAATTTTCAAAGTTAAGGATTCAATTCAACCAACAATCTTTGTCACCCTAAACAAACCAGTAGAATAAAAGCAAGTAAAAATCAAGCAACCTTGAATAAGTGTTGAAGATATCCAGCAATTCAGCCGGCATAAACAAACAGGTGCAACTTCATCTATAACAAAGATTCAATAGTGCATTGTATTTTTAAGTTATACTAAGGCCACACATTTTTATAACCAACTATCTATAAAGACAAGTGAGGAAGGTAACAAAAGCAAAACTTGGTCTACAGCTATCACAGGCCTATGCAAAATTTATCAATTTTCATGGCTGCCAATTTCAGTACAAAGGGAAGACATTAAAACAGAAATTTCGGACCCGTCTTTTGCAGAAATGACCGCGTAAAAAAACTATTGTGTTATCGGGACATGTGATAAATAATAATCTTCAAACGGCTTTTTGTGTGCGTGAAGTCAAAGGATTCTCCTTAGTGACAGTAGAGTTTGATCACAGAATCTGCACCTGCAGTAAACAACCAAGGTTGTCTGGGGTGGAACTTCAGATCCAAAACTCCTGCAAAAAACAAGTTATTAGACAGAGGTAACATTACATGAAATACATATAAATTTATAAAGACCGACATTGGATGATTTATTATACATACATGTATATAATAGCACTACCGCTCAAATATAAAATATTTCAGTTATCAAGTTGAGTAATCAGGGCTTTCTTAAAGTAACTAATTTCAATAAAGTTAGACACAAAAGTCAAAAACACATACACATATGCAATTAGGCTTCTTATTCACGTCTGCGCTCAAATTTACAGACACGTATTGAGAAGAAAATAAATAAATTACCTCGTCCATCAGCACTCGAATGCCCTCGAAGAATCTCTAGAGGAACAATCAAAGGATTCTGATTCAGATCAGAGTACACCATGCCATGAAAAACATATGCTGTGCAATCATCAGAGCATGAGGCGAATAAAGGGTACGATCGATGGTAGGCAACCCCAGTAATATCTTTTGGATGACACCTGAAAATTTTAGATCAACATGGGGAGATAATTTAGAGAACATATAAGTTAGAATCATTTGCAGCAGTAAATTGATAATGCGTGCTGCTCTTTCCATTTACATTTACGAGGAACATTTCCATAAATTATATTGTTTTATGATTAAAGCTAACCCCAGAAAAATTGGTAGGTATATATATCTCCTAGCATCCTTCACAGTAAAGAGCATACAACTGAAATTAATGTTATATATGTGCCACTGTATTTTTTTTTCTTTTTTAATATTTGAAAAAACGAGCCTTCCTCTTCCACTAATCAGTTAATTGATCATCAATGATGACGTCAGCTTCTGAAATGATGCTAATAACTTAATCTTTCAATAAGAGAACCTCTGAAATTATTAATTTTAGGAATTCAGCCCTCTGTATCACCATACAATCAATGACAATGACAAACATAACCCTCTCCAACAATTTCAAACAACCATAGAAAACTTTTTTAATTGGTGATAGTTAATTGCTTAGTTCTTAGCTGCTGATGGATGATGTCAATTACATCAAGTGAATGGAGTGAAGTAATTTAGTCATCGAGTCCTCCCCTACAACTTTAACCTCACACACTTTTCAATGGTGCTTACCTGTGATGATAAATCCATTGACTCTTTAACAATGTGCTTCCAATCTTTAGGAATTATGTCAAAAGTCACTAATTTAATCATGCGAAAGAACATTTTAGTGATTAACTACACAAACTTAGCATTTTCCAAACAATTGCCAAATACCAAAGGATTTCAAAGGAACTTTTCTAGTTACATATTTAATTGCATTTGCATACCTGAGGACTCTGTAAGGCCGAGATGACAGGTCCATGTCAAACCAACACAACTTTCCGTCCTTGCTTCCAACAATTGTGTTATCACCTGCATTAAGTACAGTTAAGCACTGGGCACCAGAAACTATTTCTATGTCAAAGTGCCTGCCTTCAGTAACTGCATTCGTGCAAGTGATTGTCGAGAGAGAGAGAGAGAGAGAGAGAGAGAGAGAGAGACGATGAGGTTGAGAGAGAGAGAGAGAGAGTGACAGACCGCCAGGGTGGATAGCTATGGAAGAGATTTCTCGGACTCCAGCATCAAGCTTCTTAATGAGCTTTTGCTTTAGTAAGTCATAGACGCGAACATCCTTCTTTGATGCCGTAAAAAATATTGAACGAGTAGGATGAAAAGCCGTTGACACAGGAATTCCTTTTGTCTTGAACGGAATACGTTGGGTAAGTTTCTTCGAGAGCTGGTGAATCAACACTGATCTCGATTCACGTATGGCTAAGTTAAAGAAATGACAATAGGCCAAAACAGATTAAATCTTTACTGTGGTATCTTTTCTTATTTCATCCCAGTAAAGAAAAATCATATATTCGTCCTGGGAGCATCACATAATTTGATATGCAAAGCTAATCAAGATTCAGTCCATTACACAACGCATATAAAACTTTCAATATAAATATAACAACATCATGAACTGACCAACGTACTAATGGTGCAAAAAGGATATCAGATGGCATAAGTGTCGAGAGATAGTCTCCTTTACGGTGCCATTCCACTTTAGTGACAGACTGCAATTCAATAATATCAAATTAAATTCCAGAGGGGAATATCAAAATACATCACTATCAGCCTCGAATTTATCATAACTTCCAAATATAGAAGGCGAGACCCAACAAAAAAAAAAACTACCTTAAAATGCTTCAACCTGATCCCTCCATGCCTATCATCCTGACCCCAGTCAACAATGGATGCACTAATACCTGAAATAAGAAGTTGTAGATAAGTTGATAATGTCAGGCAAGGAGTACCTACATTCGTACTCATACCGACCAGACTCTTCTGTTGACTTTTGGGGATCAAAACGGAGAAGATCCTCTATCTTTCTCTCTTGTTCATCGGCTCCACATCCAGTGTTCAAAATAAACATGTCTTGGCCCCTGCAAATTTTGTCAGGGTTTAGGGAATAGTATCACTGAACAAAAGTCAATTTTAGATACATGAAA